TTTCTATCAAGACAGGGAAAAACATTTTCAAAGTATGATGCATTTGTTGATTCCATTATTATGCCTTTATTTTAGAGTCGTGTACAAGAAAACAATAAGCATTATTGTTTTGTGCATAACTAATAAATATGCAACCAACATTCTAGTATCCAATCCTTACAACCTTGGGGTTAGGTATAACAACCTTTGTAAGACGCCCCCACATTTAATTGTATTTGTAAGATGATTTTATAACCCGACCATAACTTATATGGTGTTTTATTCGTTTTGTTTTTGGGGGACCTTATATAAAAGATAATTAGTTGATAACACAACTTTCCCCACATTGAGGATGAAAACCCAAAACTTAACAACATGACATTCATCATTTCATTAAAGGTATGGTTTTTCCTTTCCGTGATGCCATTTTGTTGTGGCGATTAAGGTGCAATAATATCATGTATTATACCATGTTTTGCATAAATATCTTTAAATGGTGATATATATATATATATATATATATATATATATATATATATATATATATATATATACACACACACACCCCTCCACAATCACTTCTTAGTACTTTAATCTTTTTGTTGAGTTGGATCTCAACTTCACTTTTATACACTTTAAACTTGCCTATTGTGTAATATTTACTTTTAAGTAAATTTACATAGCAAAGTTTAGTGCAATCGTTAATAAAAGTGAGAAAGTACTTATTTCCACATTTACGTGGATTCAACTTCATATCACACACATCTTTGTGAATTAATCCAAAAGGCTTAAGTGTCCTTTCAATGGACTTGAAAGATTGGTGTGTTAACTTTGATTCAACACAAGTGTTGCATCCATATTTTGACTTATATGAAAGTGAGGTATATGTTCAAGTTTGATTAACCTTCTTAATGTGTCAATATTAACATGTCCAAATCTAGCATGTCACGCATAAAAAATTTAAGCAAGTAAGCAAAAGAGTTATCCAACTCACTGATATTAGGCTCGTTAGCCAATATATGGAATTTAAACATTCCACCATCCGCATAGACCTTGCCTACAAACATATTTTTTTTAGGTTAGTACAAACTTATTGGACTCAAACACCAAACAAAATCCATGTTTTTTCAACATCCATCCAAACACTGTGTTCTTCCTAATATATGGAAGATACAACACATCATTAAGTGTTAGCTCTTTTCTATGTGATACCATTTCTGGAATGTTTTAAACACCAAATTTAAGTGTTTAGAATCACAATTTCAAGAATAAATTTCTGCCTCAACTTGGACAACCTTATAATTCTTGAGTCACTCCATCTTTGAGCATATGATGGGTAGCACCCGTATCACTCCGCCATTCATTGGAGTTTGCATCCATCAAGAGGATTTTGGAAATCATAGTCACTTTGGGTGTTGCCATTTCTAAAATTGTAACAAATCTAAGTGTTTAGAATTTGTAATTTCCAAAAAATTATATATGCCTCTTACTTGGACATAAATCAAACTATTCACAAACCAAATTATAAAACATCACGAAAACTGATACTAACATTCTGAAAATTGTTCTAAAAATAATGTTGAAATCTAAAATTTTCTTCTAAAAGTATTTTCCAAAATTTTGAAAATTAACTCTAAAATTCTGAAATTCTAAATCAGAAAACCGGTTTTGAATAACTATATCTGAAAGAACAAATAATCTATTTTCTAAAACTAAAATTGGTTTTTCAACAAAACTGCTAAAATTCTTGTTTTCAACAAAACTGATGCTGATTTCTAGATAATTAGAAGCTGTTTTCCCAACAAAACTGATAAAATTCATGTTTTTCAATAAGACAAAGTTGTTTGTCAACAAAACTGCTAAAATTGTTGTTTATTGAGAAATGCAAGGTTATTTTCTAGATAGTTAAAGATGTTTATAATAAAGCGTTTAAACTTGCAGTTAAAGAAAAACAAAAATATGTAAAACCGTTATAGATGTACAATTTATAACATTGTTATAACTAGAAAATTCAAACTACTTGAAAGTGTTAAAATAAATGATAACAATTTTTTTTCTCCGTTAAAACATCACACAATGTGATTTCTTTTGTTTATCACAACAGTAATACAAATCGTGAATCAATAAATATTTTACAAAAATGGTCCTTGTGGTTTGCCAAAAGTAATAAAGTTAGTCCCCATTAAATTTTTTTGATGCAAATGGCCCTTGTGGTTTGCAAAACTTGCACAGACGGCCCTTTTTACTAACGCCGTTAGTATTCAGCCGTTAGGGACTGAATTAGCAAGAGTATTTTCGTCTTTTCAAGTATAAAGGGATTGGATTTGCAACTTTGGGTAAACCATAGGGACCATTTTTGTAATTCTATCTTAAAATGATAAGAATGATAAAAAATGAGGGGAGGGGGAGTCAAACTTGGGACCTCCTTCCCCCCTCCTTACTCACCCAAAGCTCTAACCAACTAGGTTATAGTCAATCTTGTTATTTAATTCCGAAAATTAATTATATTATATAAAAGCGTAAATAATTAATAATAAAAAAATTAATAAAATATTTAGAAAAAAAATTAATAAAACAAAATATATTTTTAGCGTATTGTAAAAAAATATTTTTTACAAAAAATTTACTTGTTTTTTTACGTATTTGTTTTACATAAAATATTTTTTAATGTAAAAAAAATACGTTTTCGTATACTATGTTATTACATTGCTATAATCCTAAAACATATTTTTCCGATTTCATATAAAAATACGTTTTTTTCTTTCACATAGAAAAAAAAGTTTTTTTACGTATAAAATATGTTTTTAATATATTTAAAAAATACATTTTCGTATAAAATGTTTTTACGTAAAAACATTAAGAACGTGATAACATAACGTAAAAATATGTTTTAAGATTAAATCAAAACGACTTATATTTTTTACGTAAAGCAAACTAAAGAGTTAACATAGCGTAAAAATGCGTTTTTTTTACGTAAAAATGCGTTTTTTTCACGTAAAAATACATTTTTACGTCAAGCAAACTAAAGACGTTTTTTTACGTATGGGTGATTGGTCCCTCACCCATATAACATTTTTTTACTTAAAAACGTTAACGTGATCACATATTATATGAAAACGCATTTTTACGTTTTCTTTACGTAAAAAATATAAGTTGTTTTGATTTGATCTTAAAACATATTTTTACGTTATGTTATCACGTTCTTAATGTTTTTACTTAAAAACTTTTTATACGAAAATGTATTTTTTAAATATATAAAAAACATATTTTATACGTAAAAAAACTTTTTTTCTATATGAAAGAAAAAAAAAACGTATTTTTATATGAAAACGTAAAAATATGTTTTAGGATCATAGCAATGTAATAACATAGTATTCGAAAACGTGTTTTTTAAATACATTAAAAAAATATTTTATGTAAAACAAATACGTAAAAAAAACAAGTAAATTTTTTGTAAAAAATATTTTTTTACAATACATTAAAAATATATTTTGTTTTATTAACTTTTTTTTAAATATTTTTTTATTTTTTATTATTAATTATTTACGCTTTTATATAATATTAATTAATTTTCGAAAATATATAGCAAGTTTGCCTATAGCCTAGTTGGTTAGAGCTTTGGCCGAATAAGGAGTGGGGAAGGAGGTCTCAAGTTCAAATCCTCCACTCCTTATTTTCTATCTTTATTATTATTTTAAGACAGAATTACAAAAATGGTCCCTATGGTTTACCCAAAGTTGCGAATCCAGTGCCTTTATACTTGAAAAGACGAAAATACCCTTGCTAATGGTTTACCCAAAGTTGCGAATCCAGTGCCTTTATACTTGAAAAGACGAAAATACCCTTGCTAATTCAGTCCCTAACGACTGAATACTAACAGCGTTAGTAAAAAGGACCATCTGTGCAAGTTTTGCAAACCACAGGGGCCATTTGCATCAAAAAAACTAATAGGGCCTAACTTTGTTACTTTTAGTAAACCATAAAGACCATTTTTTTAATTTTGTCTTAATTTAATCACCACAGTGACACTGGGAAACAACAAACACATAATATAATACAGTATATAAAAGAAATAGACTTTTCTTTCTTCTTTATTTATTTCTTTTTAATTTCTTTACTTTGATTGAAGCGCTAAGAAACAAAGTTTTCTTTTCCTTGTGGTAACCATAAAAACACGTAACAATGGGGAGAAAATAAACAAATTCTGTTTTTCTATAATAGAAACAAAGATTTTTTCCTTTTTTAAACGCAAACAAAGGTTAAATAGATTTTTTTTATTTGTTTGAAAAAAAAAACAAATTGTTATCAGATTCTATAAATCATGTTCGTTTCGTACAAACGAATTTGTTATAAGATTGTAGGAATCATTTATCATATTACGGTAATGTATGGAAACAAACAAGAAAATAGAAAAAATTGAGGCATGTGTTTAACACATTGTCCTTAAAACAAATTCATCTGCTACCATGTGTTTGTTTCCCATGATATAACAGTTTGAAATGACTTTTCAAGACCACCTGAACTCTAGATTTTGGTTGCATTCTTGGTAGTCTCAGTTGGTTAAGGAATGGTTGTATTTATACTACAAATCATAATCATCAAACAATTAAATTGTTATTAAAACACAATTCGTAACCGACATTATATTTAATATCATTCTTAATTAGGAGGTGTAATTGAAAATTGAACATCAATTTTCAATTATACACCATTCAACCCCTCAACTTTAGTGATTAGTTTCAATTCACCAATTATTTTTCCAACAAATATCACCACTAATATGCAATTTGAATAAGAGTATTAAATATTTAGTCAATTATTTTTTATATATTTAGTAATGGCCGTTAAAACTTGTTTATTTTTTATACATATAACAATTAAACTAATTTTATTACACATATTATGTGTAAAAAAACATAAATTTCTAAACATGTAAAAAGAATTAATCATCACATATGTATAAAACAAATATAAAGAATAAGATAACCTTTGTTAACCCATTTGAATAATCATTTGGGCATATTTGAAGTAAAGGAAACCTTCGAGGGTTTGTAGTAAAATTTACCCGATGAAACATGAACTGAGGTTTTTCCCCTTCCACGTTTAGGCCTAAAACCCTAAATTGAAATCTGAAAATCCTCAGGTGCCGACGATTGTAACGAGTTATTTTCTCCATTTGCTGATCATCTATTTACGCATTATTACACTTTACTTATTTTTATTTTTTATCTGAGGAAGATCATTCGTTTAGGCCAGGAAGTCGCAGAATGCAACATCTTCACAGAAAGCTAACGAGTAATAGGCCATCAATCAAATTGGTCAACCAAGTTCGTACCCATTTAACAACTTCATTTTTGATTGCTTCTAGTATTTCATGATTGTTTATAGATTTCATCCTCTGCTGCTGCTTGGATTTTTTGTCTAATGTTTTCTAGTTTTATCTGTTATTGATCTATTTATGGTTTTGATATTGTGCGTCAGTACCTGTTAGAGAGATGCATGTCTCTTCCTTAATTTCTAGTATCTGTAACGCTTTCTACTTCCCATTCAATTCAATTTCTAGTTCTTGTTGGAACTGTTTTAGGATATTCGCCATTTCAAGGATTTCTGTACACTGATTATATTTGATTTAAATAAGTTCTTTTTTGTATTGATGGTTTTAAACTCTATATTATATAGCTTTTGCTTGTAGATCCTACTTCGTCAATTTTACTCTACAGACAAGTGTTTTGATGCTGGGCAACCAATTCCAAGTACTCATCCTCAGGTATCTTGACTGAATACTTCATCATCTGCAATGTTATACTAATTTTCTGTTCTTATTACCTCTCACATCTAATTCCATATTAAAATTTTCATGTTTGTATGATGATATATTGATAGCTACTAAAAGAAGGTGAGATTACACCAGGAATCAGTTGTGATGAATACGTATCAAGGCGGAGGAGAATACTGGAGCTTCTTCCAGAACAGAGTGTGGCTGTTGTTGCAGCTGCTCCTGTGAAGATGATGACAGATGTTGTACCTTACACTTTTCGCCAAGATTCTGATTATCTTTATATCACTGGATGCCAACAGCCTGGTGGAATAGCTGTGTTGAGTCATGACTTTGGTTTGTGCATGTTTATGCCCGAACCTACCCCTCAAGTATGCATACATTACATATATTCTTGTGATAATATGACACTGAATAACAATTTGAGATTAAAAAGTATGAAACTCTAGTGGATTAATATTATTATCTACAACGAATTCTAGGACATTACTTGGCAAGGACAGATTGCTGGAGTTGATGCTGCTATAGAATTTTTCAAGGCCGATCAATCATATCCTATCAGCAAATTACATAAGGTCAGTAATAGTATTGACTTGACAAAGTTTTTACAATTTGATTTGTATTGATAAACTTGTTGAATTCAACATCATTGATTTACTCACTTCTGTTTTATTTCACTGAAGGTCCTTCCAAACATGATAAAAAATTGTTCAAAGTTATATCATAATGTGAAGACAGCTGTCCCAACTTATACAGAGTTAGAGGCATTCAAGAAAGCTGCTTATAATGGTGGACTCCATGATCTCTCCATTTACACCCATGAAGCAAGATGGATCAAATCATCAGCTGAGCTTAATCTCATGAGACAATCTGCTTCCATAGGTTGCCAGGTATCTCAAAAACTCCCACAATTATTATTATTTTTTGATTCACCACTAAAATTATTCATTCCCCTTTAAAATTTAATTAGGCTCTTTTACAAACTATGCTGCAATCCAAGATATCTCCTTATGAGAATATCTTATCAGCTAAAGTTGAATACGAGTGTAGAATCAGAGGTGCCCAGAGAATGGCGTATGTTTCTTTTTCTTTTTTCTTTTTTTATATATAAATTTATTTTTATTCATATACACATTTTTTTTATATGTAATATTGTTTGTTTAACAATACTAATTACTGTTTTCCCAGGTTTAACCCTGTGGTTGGTGGTGGGCCCAATGGAAGTGTTATTCATTATTCACGAAATGACCAGAATGTGAGCTTCTTCTTCTTCTTCTTCTTTTTTTTAGCTGATTTATTTAATGTTTAAAACATTATTTTAAAAATTGATTGTTAGGTGAAAGATGGAGAGCTTGTTTTGATGGATATTGGATGTGAGTTGCATGGGTATGTTAGTGACCTCACACGTACTTGGCCTCCATGTGGCACATTTTCAGATGCTCATGTATGTTCTAGTTATTTTTAAATATTTCATGTATCCTATTATTTATATAATTTTTGTAATTAATTTCATGAAGTTTTATGATTTCAGAGACAAGTGTATGATCTGGTTGTAGAGACCAACAAAGAATGTATTCAGCTTTGCAAACCTGGTATGAGCATCCAGCGTATACACAACTACTCGGTATAAATAAATTAAATTATAATATAATATAATATATACATGATTATAATATGTTGAGTTTTTTGATTTATAATCACTTGATGTTGTGTAGGTTGAGAAGCTTTGTAGAGGATTGAAAGGAATGGGAATTTTGAAAAATGATAGGCTTCAAAGCTATCACCAAGTGAATCCAACTAGCATAGGTGACATGTCATTTCTTTTTTATGTTTTTAATTTGTATTCCAAAAAAAAAAACTTAAATTTTTTTATGTGTTTGTTTTATAAATAATACAGGTCATTATCTGGGAATGGATGTGCATGATTGTTCTAAAATTGGGTATGAACGTACATTAAAGCCAGGTGTTGTAAGTTCTTTTCCTAATCTCATCATCTTTTTAGATCTTCAAACTTCAAATGCTAAAAATATTGTTATAATTTCTATTTTTCTTAATCGAAATTGTTTTAGCCACTTTGCATAATTCCTTCTTTTTAGGTGATAACAATTGAACCTGGAATTTACATCCCATCAAACTTCGACTGTGCACAAAGGTAACTAAACTACTAATCTTAAATGCACGTGGCATAAAAAACACAAAAAAAGAAAAAATAATGATGTGTCATTGCCACGTCAGCACAACTGACTTAGTCAATCGGTTACCAATACTCAGATACCAAGGCATTGGGATCAGGATTGAGGATGAAGTCGTAATTACCGAATCAGGTTATGAGGTATATATATATATATATATATATATATATATATATATATATATAGCCAAGTTTTTTTTAAAAAAACTTGCAGTTTAATACATGTCAAACGCAATATACTCTGTTGTTAAGTGTTGATGAAGTTGTTTTTTGTTAAACAGGTTCTTACAGGATCATTACCAAAAGAAATCAATCACATTGAAACCTTGTTGAATAACCACAGCTATGGAGAGAATCGCGACATTTCTGCTTTCGGTTTTTGACTTGGAACAAGTCAAATTTTTGCATTTTATGTCTAGCAATTCCAAGTTGAATGAGAAGAAATTTTTTCTTGTATTGTGAAATTAATTTTATATGATAGTCCACGAATAAATGGTTTAGTATAAATACTATATTTATTGTTTTATGGGCTTCATTTTTTTTTATTAATTTATGCAACTGATATGAATTGTATTGTGCAAATAATTTTTAAACATGTGAAGTTGAAACTGAAACTTGGCTGAATATTTAAATTGGAAAATAGTATTGCTACATAAAATGTCATTTAATAAATATGTGATCTTAAATAAACCCCCTTTTTATTTCTATCATCGTCACTTCTCATATTATCATTTTTTCTTTTTTCTTTAATCATTACTATCATAAGCAATTTTTTTATTAATTAAATAATATAATATATTTAGGGAAAACTGCAATAAAGTCTTTATATATTCGCCTTATAATCGATTTAGTCCCTATATATTTCTTTTATTCAATTAAGTCTCAAATACTGGTAATCGTATTCAATTAAGTCTCATCCAACTTTCAGAAATTATATTTTTGGCCCAGATTTCAAATTTTATTACAAATTCGGTCTATAATTTACACTTTTGGCCCAGATTTTAAATTTTGTTACAAATTTGGTTCAGACTTTACCCTTTTTGCCTAAATTTTAGAATTGTATTATGAATTCATCATAACTTTAGATTTTTTACAAATTTCTTTCTCAAAAAATTGTTTCTAATATGTTTTTTCTTTATAAAATCATATTTATAAAAAAAACATATTTTCACATAAAAATCTTATATTTTCTATATAAAAACGTTTTTTAAAAAGCTTTTTGTATATGAAATATCTAGTTATAAAAATATGTATTTATTAAGTATATAAATATATACAAATCCGTTTTTATAAAAAATGTATACAAAAACGTATTTTACAAAAAAAATGTATACAAATCCGTTTTTATATAATACGTGTTTGTATACATTTTTTTGTAAAATACGTTTTTATATACATTTTTTCTATCAAAACGGATTTGTATATATTTATATACTTAATAAATACCTATTTTTATAACTAGATATTTCATATACAAAAAACTTTTTATATAGAAAATATAAGATTTTTATGTGAAAATGCGTTTTTTTTTTGTATAAATATGATTTTATAAAGAAAAAACATATTAAAAACAATTATTTGAGAAAAATAGTTGTAAAAAAAACTAAATTTAGGATGAATTCATAATAAAATTCTAAAATTTGGGCAAGAAGGGTAAAGTTTGGACCAAATTTGTAACAAAATTTAAAATCTGGGCCAAAAGTGTAAATTTTGGACTGGATTTGTAATAAAATTTGAAATCTGGGCCAAAAATGTAATTTTTGAAAGTTGGATGACCTGTTGACCGGGTCAAAGGGTTAAATTGAATACGATTACCGGTATTTGGGACTTAATTGAATAAAAAAAATATATAGGGACTAAATCGATTATGAAGCCTATATGTAGGGACTTTATTGTAGTTTTCTCATATATTTATTAGTGTGCTTATTTTATGAATGCTATGTATTTATTATGAATGCTATGTATTTATTATGTTATTTTGGACATCTCTATATAAATGTTATATATCTAATTGGGTTATGTTTTTTGATATATTTTGGTTATGTTACTGTGTCTTTAAATGATCCCGGTTTTTTTTAATTTTTTTATTTTTTTATTTTTTTATTTTACTATCGGTTTTGTTTTATGATTTGTTTGAATATTGAACGAACAATTAGATAAATTTAATAGAAATACATTTCTAACTTTTATTTCTTTATATGTATTTCAAACATAACGTAAATAAATGTAGTGGTATTAATTTTTTAAACAATTGGTCTATTTTATAAGACGATATTGAATAGGATACAAGTATAAAGCCATCACATGCATGTTGTGTTGGAAAACTCTTTTGTAAAATGGACCACAAAAATATAAAAATAAAGTTTCGATCCAAACAATTATGTATAGAAGAGGCGGAGACAAATAAAGTTTGAAAATAGATGTTGGGGAAATCTATAGAAAAGTCTCAAACTTTTGGTAAAAGTTTGGGTTATTTCCATAAAAGACCCTACATTTTGATTTTTTTCTTTTTAGATCTAAAAGTTTTTTCTTTTCCGAAAAAGACCAAACTTTTACATTTTACTTGTTACTTTAGACCCTAATAGGTAAATTAAGTATTTTTATTTCATAAAAGACCCAACATTTTGTACTTTTTTCCAGTTTAGACCTAAAATGTTTTTTATTTCAAGACTAGTTGTATAAAAAACGTGATTATATCCTTTTAGTTTAAAAATATACATCGATTTAAACAATATAATTATTATGCCTACATTTATTTATGATTGTAAAATTCTTTGTCCATGTATATTTATAAAAAAAGACCCTATATTTTGTAGTTTTTTCCGTTTTAGACCTAAAATATTTTTTTTTTCAAAATAAACTCAACTTTAAATTGGTTATAATCTTCAAGACCAAATATATAAGGTACTTTTTTATTACGCCGAAAAAGAAAGTACACATGTATACACTAAAAAATATTATCTGATCTATTATCTTTTGAACGAATATAACCTAGAAGAATTGCAAAATTTTATTTTTGTCTAAAAGATATATCTTGGATATATATTATATCATTAAACTTGATATATTATTTATAAAAAATGTTATTATTACTGCTAATAAAAAGTTCGATGTTAATTTGATATTTTTTTGTAACATGGATAATACATGGCTAGGAAGAATCTTTTAGCATAATAACATTTTTTTTATTTGTAGGAAATAAACATACCAGGTAATTTAACAAAACTGTATACAAAATATTTTTTTTTAGTTTGTCTATTATACTTATTTCGTGAGTTTGGACATATTTCCCTCTCTCACTTTTCTATATTATTTTTTTGGTTGAATTTTTTAATCAATTTTTTGGAACAGTTAACAAACGAACTAACTATCATACTCCTAAACCAAAGCCATAGAATATTTTGTAGCATTAGCCCGTTATTGAATAATATGGTATAACTATATCAAATACATACATAAAAATATTAATCCTAAACATTCATAATAGTTTTGTTTAGATATATCAAATTCAAGTTTTGTTTAAAATTGCAAAATCTTATTTTGTATACAGTTTATTAAATTACATGGTATGTTGTTTTTTTCTACAAATAAAAAAGTTGTTATTATGCTAAAAGATTCATCTTAGCCATGTATTGTCTATGTTACCAAAAAACATCAAATTAACATCGAACTTTTTATTAGCGGTAATAATAACATTTTTTATAAACAATATATCAAGTTTAATGATATAATATATATATATATATATATATATATATATATATATATATATATATATCCAAGATAAAGTTTAATTATATCTTTTAGAAAAAAATAAAATTTTGTAATTCTTCTAGGTTATATTCGCTCAAAAGATAATAGATCAGATAACATTTTTTTGTGTATACATGTATACTTTCTTTTTCAGTATAGTCAAGAAGTACCTTATATATTTGGTCTTGAAGATTATAACCAATTTTAAAGTTGAGTTTATTTTGAAAAAAAAAACATTTTAGGTCTAAAATGGAAAAAAGTAACAAAATACAGGGTCTTTTTTTTATAAATATACGTGGAAAAAGAATTTTCCAATCATAAATAAATGTAGGCATAATAATTACATTGTTTAAATCGATGTCTATTTTTAAACTAAAAGGATATAATCATGTTTTTATACAATTAGTCTTGAAATAAAAAGCATTTTAGGTCTAGATTGGAAAAAAGTATAAAATATAGGGTCTTTTATGAAATAAAAATACTTAATTTACTTGTTAGGGTCTAAAATAACAAGTCAAAGCTAAAAGTTAGGTCTTTTTCGGAAAAGAAAAAAGTTTTAGGTCTAAAAAGAAAAAAAATCAAAATATAGGGTCTTTTATGAAAATAACCCTAAAAGTTTCAATAAAATCCTAAATTCTTTTTGAAGAGAAAGTCTCATTATTTTGAGAAAATCATATAATCTATTATTTGATGTTCAAATATAAAAAAAGATTTTTTCGTTAATTTGGGCAAAAATGTTAAATAATCGGGACTTTTCTGTTCAAAAAAAAAAAAAACTTTTAGAACTTAATCGAAACTTTTCCCAAAAATTTGGGACTTTCTATAGATTTCCTTATATGTTGTTTGTTATAATACCACAAATGCAATTAATTAAAAATTATAATAATTAAAAAAAAATGAAAACTATAAAAATAAATTATGTAAGAGACATAAAAATGTAACTTATATAGTAAGGGAGCAAATTCACAACTTGTAAAATATCAATAATTTAAGTTTAAAATTATAACGGACGAAAACGGTTAAATGAAAATTACTTGCGAGAAAATATGTAAATATGAAAATCTTCTATTACCATATCCAAAGTCTCTGTTTCTAGAGAACCTCTTCTTATGCATCTTGTATTTAATTATGCATCTTGTATTTAATGTTTTAAATATTATAATTGATATTCTTTTAGTATTTTTTTCTCTTGAAATAGCACTTGTAAATGAATAGTAACTTACACACACCACACAAATGCAACAGTTTTGTTACATTTGTGCATTCAAAATTAATGAGATCTCTAGAAAAGTATCATTATTTTGGGAAATTAAACTTACAAAAAAGTCTTATTTTTTAATAGATAACCCAAGAAACCGGATAATTCATTCAATTTAGTCCTTTTTGACATTTTTAGCAGGTAACATGACTATGTGGCATGCCAAGTTGGAAGGGGTGTTGATGTGGCAGTTTAGGTGGCCTGCCATGTCAGCCTATATGGTTAAACCATTAAAAATCGGATTTTCTAGAAAAATGAGGGGAAAGGGGTTCGAACTCGGGACATCTCACTTCCAAAGCACAACTTTAGCCAATCAAACTGGAAACTGCTTATGCTTTTAGCCAGTCAGACTGCCATGTCAACCCATATAGTTAAACCTCTGACGCCATCACCATTTTCTTTAACCAAGGGTCTTACCCCTTGATGTAGATGACTTTTATATTTTTTTTTCACCTCCACTATTGTATTTAATGTATAAAATGCTTAATATTTAAATGTAATTATTATTATAAACG